AGCGACAAAATCCAGTCTACAGGAATGGTGCAAGAAATGGAGGATCCAGCTAAATCCAGATAAGACCGAGGCGATGCTCCTCAGGAAGAGCCGCAAGACCCCTGAAGGCAACCTCAAGATGACGACCACAGAAGTGCTGAGAGGCCTGGTGCGTGACGAAGAAAAAGAGGTACAGTGGACAGACACCAGCAAGTACCTCGGCGTCAAGATAGATAAGGGTCTCACCTGGAAACACCATATAGAAGCCCAAGTGCAGAAAGCCAAGATGGCAAGAGCCAAGCTAAGACCGATGCTTGGAAGAAGGAGCAAGCTCTCCCTGAACAACAAAATGCTGCTGATCAAGATGGTGCTCCACCGATTATGACCTACGCGTCAGTTGCTTGGGGCTACGCAGCCAAGACGTGGAAGAAGAAGCTCCAAGCACAACACAACATAGCACTCCGAGAAGCGGTCAACGCACCGTGGTACGTGCCAAACCGAGTGCTATACGAAGACCTGAGACAAGTGCCAGTGCTCGAAGTGATGAAGACCAGAGCTCGGAAGTTCTTCAACAACGCCGAAGAACACGAGAACCAGCTCATCAGGCCGCCGCCTTGGACTACGATCCAAGGTTCATACATAGGCACAAAAGACCGAAGAGCCAGCTGCTAGAAGATATGGGACACAGCAGCTGATGAGTCCTAAAGAAGAGGGGTAGAACCTCGCGAGGAAGGTACTGCATGCAAGATAGGCAAAGTCCTGTGCAGTACCGGTGGTCAGACGGCGAAGATTTGCCATGCTGAATGCACCCGATCTCATTTGAGGTGCGGGGCATTTAGATGGCACTAACAAGCGGGCCTTCTGACGACTTCGGCATTTGTCGGCGTGGTCAGGAGGCAACACTCAAGAAAGAAGATCAAAAACCGAAGAACCCAAAAGCCGTCTTGGGAAACCTTAATGTGGACCTCAGGTCAAGGTCCCACCGATGGAACCCCAAATAGAGGACGACTCGTAAAACCGGAGAAAGGTACACGAGTATAAATGACCACTTCCGTTCTGCAGCCGTGCTTCCGCGTCGTGATTAGCTTACCACACCCTTTCGGCGGGGCAAAATTCCGAGGGGGGGAAAAGCGCGAAAATTTAAAGGGCAAAATTGGGTGGGGGGTGGGGTTTGCGTCCGACAGGAACACAAGTTGCAGGAGCGTCCAGTCCACGTACCGCCACTGGGGCCGGAAAGAGTGAGGGTACCTGGACCGGGGAGGTGGTGGGTTCGCTTAGGAACTTTGTGTTCCTGTTCCTGTTCCAGTCGTTCCGTTAGTCGAGCGTTGGTGTCGATTATACCAGCATCATCTCACAATAAAATGCCACCCAAAACTAGCGGTAAGGCTGCCAAAAAAGCGGGCAAGGCGCAGAAGAATATCTCAAAATCTGACAAGAAAAAGAAGCGCAGGAGGAAGGAAAGTTACGCAATTTACATCTACAAAGTACTGAAGCAGTACATCCCGATACGGGTATATCCAGCAAAGCGATGAGCATCATGAACAGCTTCGTCAACGATATTTTCGAACGTATCGCTGCGGAAGCTTCCAGATTGGCACATTACACAAACGTGCCACGATAACTAGCAGAGAAATTCAGACAGCCGTACGACTATTGCTACCGGGAGAATTGGCCAAGCACGCAGTCAGCGAAGGTACCAAAGCCGTCACCAAGTACACCAGTTCAAAATAATATAGACGTTGTATTCGCTTCGACGGTTATACGGTTCGAAAAATAAGAACAAAAAAAAAAACGGTTCTTTTCAGAACACTATGTTATGATAAATGCAAAATGATAATTAGCTGTGGTCGTTATTTTAATCTTTCATCTATCTCTCTCTCTCTCTCTCTCTCTCTCTCTCTCTCTCTCTCCTCTCTCTCTCTCTCTCTCTCTCTCTATATATATATATATATATATATATATATATATATATGTATAGAAGAAGTCCGTAATATCTGGAAGATGTCACCTGTATCACTGCACTGGGAAACAGTACCGTGATCGTAGGTGATCTAAACGCGAAGTCCACCATTTGGGGCTCAAGAAACAGAAACAGTCACGGCGCTGTTCTGGAAAGACTAATGGATGAACCTGGATATACCATGATAGGTCCGGACGAACCTACAATATACCCCAGCAACGGAGGTAGACCAGACGTCATAGATATGGCGATTCTGAAGGAAATCGACATGCGCACCACCATCGGCGCCATGCAAGAGGGAAGCTCAGACTACAACCCCATCTTTCTCTGTACGGGAGATGGGATAACACCTGTGGAACAAAGAACAGTGAAGAGAGTGAATTGGCAGCGGTTTAGAACCAGACTGCACTATTCACAAGGACCACTACTACAGATCGAAAGCCCCGAAAGCATAGAAGAAGCGGTCACGGACCTAGAAAGGAAGATTAAGGCTGCGTTAGAAGCCGCAACCACCGTGGAAGACATAACGCAACCAAACAGGTTCAGGGACCTACCTGACGAGGTAAATCGCAAGATCACCGAAAGAAACAGAGCCCGAAGAGTAGCCCAGGAGACCAGAAGCCCCACTGACATCATGGTGGCAAACAGACTTATGAGACAGGCACGAGACGCCTTGAAGCAGCACCATCAGAGCACCTGGGATAAGAAACTCGACGAACTATCTCCAGCTGACCCAGGAATGTGGAACTTGGCTAAAATCCTCAGAAATAGAAGACAGCCCATCCCCCCAATACACAGCGAACAGGGGATGGTGTACACAACCGAAGAGAAGGCAGAAGCTTTTGCTGACAACCTTCAGAGACAGTGTACTCTCAATACTCACCCCGATGAAGACGAAGACTTCATCGACGAGGTGATGAGAAGATCGAGGAGAGCTGTCAGAGGAGGAAGAGCCATCGAAGACATGCCCTCTCCAGGCGAGGTAAGGGAAATCATCGAAAGACTCAAGGTGAAGAAGGCACCGGGTGTAGACGATATTGGGAACAGAGTCCTGAAGAGACTCCCGAGGAAAGCGATAATGGCAATTACCAACATCGTCAACGCCATACTGAGACACCGGTACTTTCCAGATCACTGGAAAGTAGCCGAGGTGATCAACATTCCTAAACCTGGGAAAGACCCAAGGTTCCCCCAAAACCACAGACCCATAAGCCTGTTGACGGCACTGAGCAAGATTGCGGAAAGGGTAATCGAACGAAGACTGAAGAACGAAACCGAAGAACTCCGAGTAGTTCCAGACGAACAGTTCGGATTCCGATGCGGGCATTCAGCAGAGCACCAGGTCCTAAGGCTGGTCGAGATGGCAACGAAATCGTTCCAGACTCGGCGGGCCGTGGGAGCTGTGTTCATGGATGCCGCAAAGGCGTTCGACACTGTTTGGCATGACGGACTGATCTACAAGATGGTAGACCTCGGATACTCAAAGGGGATGATCCAACTGGTGAAGTCCTACTTGAAGCACCGAAATTTCCGAATTAGGATCGGTAAAACAACCTCGACGACGAGGACTGTGGAGGCAGGAGTACCGCAGGGAGCGGTTCTACCACCCCTGCTGTATCCAATCTACAGCTCAGACATCCCGAAGACTCCTCAAACGCAACTGTATGTGTATGCGGACGATACAGCATATGCGGCAGAAAGTACGAGACCCCGCATGGTTACGGAATATCTGCAACGAGCGACCACCAACCTAGAGGAATGGTGCATCAAGTGGAAGATCCGCCTCAACCCCGAGAAGACCGAAGCGGTACTGTTCCGAAGAAATCGAAGATTACCTCAGACCAAAATAAAGATGACGACCACCAGAATGGAGAGAGGCTGGAGAAGAGATGAAGAGGTTGAGGTCGACTGGAAAGACTCCAGCACATACCTTGGAGTCAAGATGGACCAGAAACTCACTTGGAAGAACCATGTCGAAGACCGGGTGCAGAAAGTGAAGATGGCACGCTCCAAACTAAGACCCTTAACGGGCAGAAGAAGCAAAGTGTCACTAAAGAATAAGACCATCATGATTCAGATGGTGCTGCTACAAATCATGACTTACGCAGCAGTAGCTTGGGGCTACGTTTCCAAAACGATGAAGAAGAGGCTCCAAGCTCAACAAAACATGGCACTCCGTGAAGCGGTGGACGCACCGTGGTATGTACCTAACAGAGTGCTATATGACGAACTACGACAGGTACCGGTCGTAATCCAGATGAGAGAGAGGGCCAGAAAGTTCTTTGAAAAGAAATGTGCTGATTGAAGCCGCCTTGGATTACGACCCAAGAACAATAAGGCGTCATAAAAGACCGAAAAGCCAGCTGCAACAAGAAGATATTTGGCCCTAGCAGCTGATGAGGCCAAAGAAAAGGGGAGAAGACCGACAATAGTTGTACACCCAAGAGGGGAAAGAACAGCCCGTGTACAACGGGTGGACAAAAAGAAGCCTGTCGATTGAGGTGGCCAGAGTCAAGCACGGACTCGGGGCTAACCTCAGGAGACGAATGACTTACAAAAATGACTGACTGACGACGACTGACTGACGCCAGTCGACGAGGAAAGAGCGAAGGCTCACCAACCTTTAGGAGGGGCTTAGGTCGAAAGCCCCCAGCGCAGGACCCCCAAGAAAAGAGGCCGGCCATAAAGTCGAGAACCGACAGTTGGAAGAAACGTCCACCACGCGCTTCCGCGACGCGTGCGCGATCGAGTCAAATTTCGGGAAAAAGGGGCAAAATTGGGGAAGGGGGGATAGCTCGTTCGGCAGCACACACTCGGGGAATGCGCAAGCGGCCTGAACCACGCAGCGCCACTACAGGCCTTTGGGCGGGAGTGGGGGGAGGAGCAGATTGCTCTTCCCCCCACTCCTCAAGGGTTTGAGGTTGCCTGGAACAGGGGTGGTGGAGGGACCGCACAGGGTAGGAGGGTGTGTGTGTGTGTGTGTGAAGTCCGTAGCAGAAGAAGAAGAAGAAGACGAAGACCGTTTTGTAAAATAACAAAATTAAGTAACACAATTTTTTTTATACATTTATAGCCCATAAGTAACAGCAGACCGAATATATTGCCAACGGAAAATCCTTTTTATTTTGGTATTCTGAGTTTAATTGATGTTAACTGCCCAAAATTGATTACTTATCGTTTATTCCTTTCCCCGCGGATCGGTGTATGGTAACTTGTTCTAACAGTTAATAGTATTAACGGAGTGTCATTGTTTTTATTGTTCAACAGCGAAATCAGTCAACATAAGGGTATCCACGATTTCCGAAGGTTAATACAGGGTGTCCGCAAAGTTGGGCTTTTCCTTTTCAGAAACAACTACCCTTGAAATAACAAAGGTAATGCGTAATGAAACGAGGGCCGACCATGTAAAAAAAATATATAAAGGAAAAAGTACTCACTCTCCAGTTGACCCCATTACGTGTGAACGTAGATTCGTCTGTCACCAATATGCACTTCAAAAAGTCCGGATTATTGTCATGTTGATGCAACAACCACTCACAAAACCGCACTCTTGCTGGAAAATCGTCAGGATGGACGTTTGCCACACTCTAGTTTGTGATACTCGCACTTCTCTAGCCACGTCTCTAGTGCTTGTTGAGGGATTCTCGTCTACCTACGCGATTCAGTAGTTCTTCCTCAACTAGCACCATTCGTGGTTGTCTAGACCTCCCACTGTGCCCACCTCGATATTCCTCCAAATGGCCCGTATCCCTGACTCTCTGGACCGGGTACACAAATCTGCGGGGCCTTGGATGATGTCGTCTAGGGAAAAGATCTGCATACACTCGCGACGATTCTGTATCATTTTGAAGACGTTCATTAATAAATTAACAACATATCAACGAGTTCATTATTGGTATATGAGTGTGCCATTATTATTATATTTATTATACCTCTATACGCGTGACCCTTTACCGTCGGTTGAAGGTTGCATACTGACCTGACACTCGGTCCCCCACCCCCGACCCAGTTCTGTCGTCGGGTTCAGCTAGTAGCCGGTACCTGTCTGGGGCATCGCGGCGGGTGGCGGCTACAGGACGGTATTCAGATATATTTGATGTTGCAGAGCCCTTTATCTCGGTTCCCTTAAGATATTGGTGTATATGGCACTAAGAAAAATTGCTTATGTTTTCAAGATCTACACGTCGTGTAAAGGATAACCCCAACTTTGCGGACACCCTGTATAATAGAATTAGAACCGTTCGATGTATATATTCTTTTCAAATTACAGTTTTTCGATAACACAGCATAGCATGTCCATATATGTATATATATATATATATATATATATATATATATATATATATATATATATCATATATATATATATATATTATATATATATATATATGTATATATACACGTACATAAACATAGAATCACGGAAACGAAATGTAGTACATCGTTATTCGAATATTCGTACATTTTCGAAGTTCGCTCAAGTATATACTTTCGAGA